AACTGAGAAATATCCACGGGATGGTGCCCGGTGAGGGTCTCTTTGATTTTGGGAGGACCCATTTTAGTAACTTGGGAAGGTAGAAGCCAATAAGCAGACAAGCGAATGGGAAGTGAGGAAGTGGAAAGAGTAAGTGTAGACTCCTCTTTCTAGAAATTTGGTGAATAAGGGAAGGTTAGTTTTCAAGCCATAGCTGAGAAGGCTCCATGGAAAAGAGAAGGAATTTATTTTATTTTATTTTTTTATTTTTATGGGAGAGACTTCAGCATGTTTATGGGCTCTAAGGAAAGCCCAGCAGACAGAAACAATGGAATGAAGCCCTCAGAAGAGATAAAAGTAATGGGATCAACAGCACTGGCAGAATGTCCCCAAGTCTCTACAGTTAATAGGTGGCAAAGTTACTTATGATTGGTGGGGAAGACATGATTCATCACCACACTTTAAAAATAGAAAAATGAAGCCCACAGTGGGAAGAGAATTGCCTCAAACCATACAGCCTGGGACTTCATAGAAGAGATCTGACCCCACCCCTGGCCACATGACTTTCTATCCCAGAAGGTTCCCTCTGTGTCAGTGTAGAGCCCTGGCCACCCCTGCAGAAACCTAGGAAATGTTGGATGTCTGAGTCCCAGAGAGGAGAATGTAGGGAGGGTCATAGGGCACATTCTGGGAAGGGGTGGCTGTCCGGAGAGGGACTGGGGAGGAGAGGACAGAGCTGGGAGGAGAGCAAAGGCATCTCCACCCAGGCAGCAGCTGCTTGCAAATATGTTACAACTTGTCAAAGGGGCAGAAATAGATGCAGTCCAGGGAATGGAGTGGGTAGCGGCATGCTAAGGCTTCTGAACCCACAGAGAGGGCAGATTTGCGGGGGTGGGAGGGAGTAGCAGGGAAGGGGACAGCCAGGGGGGCAAATCCAGAGGTGAGTATGACAAATATATGCCAAGCAGTTCTAAGTAGGTGGAAATGGGTCCAGAGAACCATCTGGTTACCTTTCAGCGAGGTTAAACCTGGGAGCCGAAGTGGAGATGGGAAAAGGACAAAGTATCTCTAGGAAATCTACCGTCTCTGATCCTGTGAGTCTACTCTTCGGGGCTAAACCTGGTTCAGACAAAACAGTCCTCCTACCCTGATTCCATGAGCACTTCCTCCAGATGCACATGCTAAGTCAGGAAAACAAACAAACAAACAAACAAAAGGCATCCTAACCAGTCAGTCTGGCATCTTGGTTTACAGATGGGGAAATTGAGAACCAAAGAGGACACAGGACAGCAACACGAACTGCCTTATCCAGGGCTCCTTCTACTTTCCCTCCACATCCTGATGGTATTTGTCCTAACCAGGAGCTGAAGGCCCGAAGGCCCAGTTCCCATAGGAACGTAGGATTCTTGTAAGAAATCCCCGCCCGCATTTCCAAAGGCCCCACCAGAGCCAGGTCCCCAGTTCACACTGCTGAGCCCAGTGCTGGTTATTTTTAAAACCAGCTCTCTGCTTTGTCTGCACCAAACACCTCCCCTTGACCCTCACCCACTCTCCTCCAACCCAACCCCTTCCACCTCCAGGTCTGCACCTTCCCATACCCTAAAGCCAGAAATTCTTGAAGAATGATCCTGGCTCTGAGCATCAGATTCCAGGCAGGGAAGGGATTTCCCAGTGGTCATCTGATGCTCAGTCCTCCATGGAAACAATGTGTGGCTGCAGAGGCCTGGTGGAGGGGGGACCCTCCCCTCCTCTTCACATCTCAATCCTGGCATCTGCCTCCAAATCTCCCCTGTCTCAATCCCTCAGGCCTCTGCCCGGCACCTCCAGCCCACTCTCTCTCTCACACCTCTCCTGTATCTTCTTTTCATCTCTTCAGCAGTACCTCTCCTGATGCCTCTCTAAACCCTCCATTCAAACTCTCCAACCCCTCACTGTCTGCCTACTTGTGACCCCAGGCCCACCGGGAAATATCTACTCACTTGCTGCTTACTACTTACACTTCCTCACCTGCCAGCCGCAGGGAGGGAGGAGGCTCCGGGATTCAGAACAGGCACCCTTCACACTTCTGACATTCATCCTCTGTACCCTTGGGCAAGTCACTTCCCTTCTCTGCGCCTCCATTTCCCCATGTGTGGAGGAAGAAGGTGGACTAGTGGATTCTAGACTGCCTTGCAGCTCTGACATTCTGTGATTCTGTGATCTGTTCTCATTCTGCTGCAAAGCTACTGCCCCACAAATAATCAGTGCTGATTTGCATGTAATTTTTATGCATCTACGTCCTACTGAAATGCACATGCATTTGCCATCCACCTCCCCCACCTCCCACCCCCCACCCCTCCCACCTCATCCTATCCAGCCTAGGAAAATATATGGTGGGAGACCTGTTTGGAGTAGCGAGAGGCCCCCACCCTTCCATACCCTTCTCCTTCTTGCTCCTCTATTCCCAAGTGCATGAGACTCCAGAATGGAAAATTTGCTTTGATTTTAGCCAAGTACTATGCAGCCCAGTAGTATAGTACTGGGTACTATAGTACTATAGTATACTATATAGTACTATAGCACTATAGTACTATATACTATATATACTATAGTATATATAGTATATATATACTATATACTATATATATATAGTACTATTATACTATATAGTATACTATATAGTACTATAGTGCTATAGTACTATATACTATATATAGTATATAGTATATAGTACTGATGCAGGGACTAGAAGATGCTGAAGGCCAGAGAGCTGTGACTGGGTGTGCAGCAGAAGGGGTAGTACAGAGCAAGGAGCAGGTGAAGGGGATTTCTGAGCATTTTGAAATCCAGCTGCTACCATGCAAATGACATCAGCCCAGCATGCAAACAGACAGAATCAAGTTGAGACAGTCAGGGTGGGGGAGCCAACAGTGTGGCTCTGGAGCCCCAGTAGGGGATACGGGCTTCCTCTGGAGGGCGCAGGACTGCTGGAGGAGGAGGCTACAGTAGAGGCAGGGGGCCCTGTGTGCCCAAGCCAGCAGGGATGGGGATTAGGGCCGGACGCCCTGCTGTCAGGTTGGAGCTGATGGATCGCCGCTGGTGGCGGAGCACAAAGGCTGTTCTGTGCTTGGCACCAATGTGTTCCCATCCATCAGAGGGCAGCTTGTGGGGGTGCAGGGGGAGGAGGACCAAGCCTCTAGATGAGGCGTCTCCACAGCTTAGCTCTGAGAGAAGAACAAGATGAGTAAAGGGCCAATCCTCCCGCCATCAGGGTATGGAGAGGTCAAAGACACCTGGTTCACTCTATCAGCTCAGTCCTAGGAGGGTCTGTGCCCCATAGCTGGGCTTTGACATGGTCCCTACGCTGCTGTAGTCAGACATACACAAGCACATGCACAGACAGGGATTCACAGAAACCAGGCACACAAGGTCACCCTAACCTCCCGGCTCTGCCCTCATGTTTGGTCAGAGGCAAACATCATCCAGACAGAAGGCCAAACGCATGCCCGACAGAGCTTCTGCAGGCAAGCGCCGAGTCTAGGCACTGCTCTTGCCCCAGGTCAGGTCCCAGCCGGGGAACTGACAGAGTGGGTTCTCAGTAAATGTGTGTTGAGCAGATGGAGTGAATGAATAAATTCCTTCTCTGGATTACATCAGCACTTTCTCTAGCCTGCTCTTTCTACCTTGGTTAGATGACTTTGTGAACTCATTCTCCTTACGCATCAGTGAACACACTGAAGGCAGAGAGGGCATGTCTTAGTAACCCAAGCACCTGGCACAAGGTGCTGAATGCACGGTACTTGATCGAAAAAAAAAATGGATGAATGAATAAACACACCCAGGGTGGAGCCAGGTTTTCCCTCCTCCATTCCTGCTGCTGTGGTCCCCTGCAGGGCACGCAGAAGTAGAAGAGAAGACAAAGCAAGAAAAGGGAATAACATTTACCAGGAGTATCCATGTGCCAAGTACATTATCATTTAATACAACCATTCCCCTATTGCGTGCATACTCACCATCCTTTGCTAGTCTGAAACATGCGCCCTCTCCCAGTCGAATTCATCCTCCTGCCTCTGAGGGGGTTGTTCAGACCTTCATCATCTCATTCCTGGATGACCATCACGCTGTTCTGTGTGGTCTCCTTGCCTCAGCTCTCAAGTCCTTCCCTGCCCAGTTGGGCCTCCTCCCCTCTGTGCAAGTTTGTCTCCAATCGCCCCCTTACCTGAACCCCAAGCTCCATACAAACCAGCCTACCCAAAGACCCCTTCCCCTGCTCCTCTCTCCTCATCCGAATCCTACCAGTTCTCAAGAGCTGGCCCAGCATGCTCCCCAAGCCTTTTGCAGAGCCCCAGCCTTCAGCGATTTTGCCGTCCCAAAAATTCCCGAAACGCTTTTGAAGAATCTACTGATTTGCAATTGATCACAGCCCCCATGTTTGCTGTGGAATCATCATAGCTCTCCCTTGTCTTCTAATCCAGCTTTGACATGTCAGCCCATGCTCACCAACTAGATAGTAAGGTCTTGAAATCACCATAGAGCAAGCCAGCTCTGCCTCCATTTTAGAGGAAGAAGACACATTATTTAGAGGTAAGTCACACTGGATCCTGGAATAACAAAAGATGCAAATACGGGGGTTCCTATAGTGGCTTCAACATGACTTCTTTTCTCAGGGCTCATAGGATTGGAGTGTAAACTGAGGCTTTTTTTTTTCTTTTTTCTTTGTTTGTCAAGGGATGTGTTGGAAATAGAGACTCTTCTTCAGCCCAGCTTGTCAGGGGAAAGCAAAGTTTAGAACCCACACAGTACCTATGTTGCTAATTTCTTTTTTTTTTTTTTTTTTGAGGCAGAGTCTCGCTCTGTCGCCCAGACTGGAGTGCAGTGGCGCGATCTCGGCTCACTGCAACCTCCGCCTTCTGAGTTCAAGCAATTCCCTGCCTCAGGCTCCTGAGTAGCTGGGATTACAGGTGCCTACCACCATGTCCGGGTAATTTTTGTATTTTTAGTAGAGATGAGGTTTCACCATCTTGGCCAGGCTGGTCTTGAACTCCTGACCTCGTGATCCACCGGCCTCGGCCTCCCATACTGCTGGGATTACAGGTATGAGCCACCACACCCAGTCTATGCTGCTACTTTCTATCATGCTGGTAAGGCCAAGAACAGAATTAAGACCTCACTGTTCTCCCTCAACATGCTTAGGGCTCTTTTATTGTTCAGCTATGTTCCCTCCTTCCCTCCGTTTCCTATCCCAAAAGGACATCAGAATTATCCTGGCTCCCTGCTGTGAACAATGAGAGGAAGGAACACTGGTTCTTCACATGCTGCACAGATCTCATCTCCCCTGTAATCTCCCCTGAGTCCCCAGCAGGGTTCCCCTTCCTCTCATTGTCCTTGCCACTGGCTTGAACTTGTCATTTTGATCTGTCATAGGATGAGGAGCAGGACAGATCAGACTTGGTCTATGGGGCCTAAGGGAAAAAACTAGGAACAAAGGGTAAAAGATAGAGGGAGAAGATTGCAGCTCAAAGCTGCACGTCAATGGAACGGGCTGTCTCCTGACGTGAGCAGAAGCTGAACAGTGGTTGCCTGGGAGGAGATTCGGTCATCAGGGGCTAGGTAGAAAGAGGTGACCACCATTGTCTACCAGATGGTAAGGTCGAGGGCAGGGACCCTGTCTGGGGTGTCCCTATAATCCCCAGCCCTAAGACTGAGCCTTGTTCACTGCTGGTGTCTGAGGTCTGCCCACTGCATTGGAAAGAATTTGTCCTCTCAGACCCTGAGGCACCTACTGAGAGGTGACCATGGCCTGAGAGGCCCGAAGATTATACAGTCCCTGTTCCACCTGACATTTGAGACCTGCATGATACATGTAAAATTGATGGCTCAGACGAAGAGGCAGAACAACCAAGCCCGATGGCCAAGGAGAGAGGAGATTTAAACTGAGTTTGAAGGGCTCTGTTTTTTCTCCTTTTTCACCCCCATCCACAGTAATGAGTCAGGAAAATTCTGGCGTTGGAAAAAGAGTTGAGGAGGTAACATAGAAGGACAGATCAATGGTCCGGAGTGAGACAGGGAGGAGACAGGGAGCTTAGTACATCTTGACCTTGCGGCTCTGGGGAAGGTGGCACATGTAAGCTATAAATTCTAATCTCTGCTCTGACCACGGCCGCTGTATTAAAGAGAAAATTTCTCTTGACCCCTGCCAAGAAAACCAAAAACCAAATAATTTCTCTTGCCTCAACTTACCCCCCATCACATGAGACCTAAGAGAACATACAGGTCAGAGCTGCTTGGGAACCCCAAAAGTGGAATCTATTAGCTGCTCTGAGTCTTGATCCCTTTTATCCCTGGATACTGAGTGCCCATGAATGCCCAGAATCTGAAGCAGTCCCATTCTTTCGGGAGGGAGATCTTTAAGAGTCTCATCGACTGATGTAGTGTGGTTAAGGTGCTGTCAGGAAGCAGGGAGATGGATAAGTTGGCTCTTAAGGCCTCTTCCAGCCTAAGCCTACCCTTCCTTGTTCCCTCCTCCCCCTACACCCACCAGCTTCTTGGGGACTAGCAAGGAGAGAGCAGGCAGGCCGCCCAGCTAGGAGTAATTGAAAGGAGCAGATGAGAGGGGAATGTGTCCTCCCCCAATGCCCCTGCCCCACAGGGGCTGCTGAGAAATGAAAACTAATCAAATTACACCCGACGGCCTCCCGACCCGTGCACAGGAGCCCGCCTGGGCCAGGGACAGGCTGGCTGGGTGGGGTGGGGGCCATGGGGGAGAGAGAAGGGGAATCACATCTAATCCACTGTAAACGTCTTGATGTGCAGCAACAGCTTAGAGGGGGCTCAGGTTTCTGTGGCGTTGGCTATATTTATCTCTGGTTCCATGCCAGCGGGGAGGGTTTAAATGGCACCCAGCAGTTGGCGTGAGGGGCTGCAGGAGCTTGGGGTCTGGTGGCAGGAACAAGCCTTTTCCGACCCCATGGAGCTGTATGAGACATCCCCCTACTTCTACCAGGAACCCCGCTTCTATGACGGGGAAAACTACCTGCCTGTCCACCTCCAGGGCTTCGAGCCACCAGGCTATGAGCGGACGGAGCTCACCCTGAGCCCCGAGACCCCAGGGCCCCTCGAAGACAAGGGGCTGGGCACCCCCGAGCACTGTCCGGGCCAGTGCCTTCCGTGGGCGTGTAAGGTGTGTAAGAGGAAGTCGGTGTCCGTGGACCGGCGGCGGGCGGCCACACTGAGGGAGAAGCGCAGGCTCAAGAAGGTGAATGAGGCCTTCGAGGCCCTGAAGAGGAGCACCCTGCTCAACCCCAACCAGCGGCTGCCCAAGGTGGAGATCCTGCGCAGCGCCATCCAATACATCGAGCGCCTCCAGACCCTGCTCAGCTCCCTCAACCAGGAGGAGCGTGACCTCCGCTACCGGGGCGGGGGCGGGCCCCAGCCAGGGGTAAGTGGCCATCCTGTCCCCCTGCCCCAGGGGGAGGGGGCCAGAGGGAGGCACCTGGACAGCCTCAAGACCCCAAGAGGGGCTCAGAGGGTTGGAGCAGGTGCCAGACAGGGTCGAGGGGCTTCAGGAGCCCTTCCCTGGTCAGAGCTGGGCTATCCAGCTGACCTCCTGTGTCCTGTGTTCTTTCCAGACGAGATAGAGGCAGTGGGGAGGAAGTGCAGAAGGGGTGGGGGTGGGGAACACAGGACTGAAGAAAGGATCAGGAGCAAGGCCACAGTCAGCCCGGGTAAGGGTGAGGATTAATCGCAGAGCCTGAGTCAGAGCCTAAAAGGCCAGGCCAAGTTCACCAGAGAAGGCTGCTTTGCCCCCTGCCCCACCCCCATCCTGGGTGTGGCTGAGCAGAGAGAAAACCCACTCAGTCTCATTGGAACTCCAGCAGGCCTGCACAGAGTGACCTTCACTGGGCCAGAAAATCTGTCTCCATCACCCTTATCACCAGAGTCAGGAGAACCAGGGACCTTTAACCTGGGGTCCTGTGAGGGCAGAACCACCACTCAGGATGGAAGCCAAGAAGGCCTGGAAGCAGGGCCTCTAGGACATGAGAGGAGCTGGTTACTAAGATTCTGGGGTTGGGGATGGCCTGGGCTGGAGGGCCACAGCCTGTGGCCCACCCTCCAACCCCACCACAGGTGCTTCTGCCCACTGGGACTAGGCAGAGAGACACATCAAAGAACGGCTGTGCTCCGACCTTGGGCCTTCGCCCTGTCTTGCAGGTGCCTAGCGAATGCAGCTCTCACAGCGCCTCCTGCAGTCCAGAGTGGGGCAGCGCACTGGAGTTTGGCGCCAACCCCGGGGGTAAGTGAGGCCTGACCCTGGTAACCTTGACTCCAATCCCTCAGTCCCTCCCTGGGCGAGGTTCTTCCCTCTTACCTTATTCCTTGCTCCAGTCCTCTTCCCTTAGGTCTCTCCAGGGACCTGCTGACTCCAGGACCCAAAGGGTGGGCTGGGAGGTTCTGTGTAGCCCTGCAGTCTTGACCAGCAAAGGAGTGATAGTGGCTCCTGCAGCTCCCCAGCTGATGCCTGGTGGTTGACCTTCTCCACAGAGAGGACAATGTCCCTGCCCCAGGGGTCCCTGCGAAGTGCTGAGTCAGTGCTGCAAAACCGGGCCAAGCAAAGGGCAGGTCCAGTCTCTGGGGAGTCCATCCTGCTCCAACTTGAGTGACTGCTTCCAAACCCTACCTCACTAGGGGAGTTCAGAGAAGAGGCGCACACACACACACACACACACACACACACACACACACACACAGAGCATGGGGAAAGGCAGGGACTAGGGAGTAGAACTCCGGAGCTTTATCCCCCATCTGTCCTGGAAAACCTGTGTCACCCCAAGGGTCCCATCCTCTATTCTGGGCCTCAAGAACCCCCGCTCCTCACCCAGGTACCACCTTCCCACCTCCCCTTACAGATCATCTGCTCACGGCTGACCCTACAGATGCCCACAACCTGCACTCCCTCACCTCCATCGTGGACAGCATCACAGTGGAAGATGTGTCTGTGGCCTTCCCAGATGAAACCATGCCCAACTGAGATTGTCTGCCAAGCCAGGCATCCTTGCAAGCCCCCCAAGCTGACCACAGATGCCACTGCTTCTGTAGCAGGGGCCTCCTAAGCCAGGCTACCCTGATGCTAGGAAGCCAGCTCTGGGGTGCCATAGGCCAGACTATCCCCTTCCTCATCCATGTAAGGTTAACCCACCCCCCAGCAAGGTACTGGATGCCCTCATTCAGCTGCCTCCTTAGAGGACAGGGCATCCCCTTTCCAGGAAGGTAAAGCAGGGGACCAGAGCGCCCCCTCATGTATGCCCCAGTTCAGGGGGCAAACTCAGGAGTTTCCTTTTTATCATAACATGGCCTCTAATTCCACCCCCTAAGTGAAACGGTTTGAGAGACACAGACAGTGTCCTGACCTGGACAAGCTGTGCACGTCTCCTGTTCTGGTCTCTTCCCGATGCCAGTGGCTGGGCTGGGCCTGCCCTGAATTGAGAGAAAAGAAAGGGAGAGAAACAATCCTCTGTTCCCAAGTCCCTGGGGGGCCAAACTTTTGCAGTGAATATTGGGAACCTTCCAGTGGTTTTATGTTTTGTTTTGTTTTGTGTGTTGTTTGTAAAGCTGCCATCTGACCAAGGTCTCCTGTGCTGAAGTTGCCAGGGACAGGCAGGGAAAGGGGGTTGGGGGCTCTTGGGGGTGATTTCTTTTGTTAACTAAGCATCGTGTGGTTTTGCCATTGTTTTGTATTTTTTTTTTTTTTTGCTAACTTATTTGGATTTCCTTTTTTAAAAAATGAATAAAGACTGGTTGCCAGAAGAGTGTCCGTGATGATGCAGAGGGAGGGAAATGACTGACAGCCCTGCCCCCTCCCACTGAGCAGTCCAGACACACCCTAGTGGGCGGGGCTCCACAGCGCTGAGGGCCTCATCTTGCTGGTGGTCACTAGGCACTGGGGACCCCGGCTCTTTTCACCATGAGGAAGGAAGTCGAGCATGTCTAGACCTCAGTCTAGGTGGAGACCAGATTCCACAGACATCCTTGTGGGACACGGAGGACAACTGGCTATGACTATACTTCACAGCCATTGCTCACAGGCTGCTGTGCTCTGCGTCATGTCCCAACAGGTCCTCCGGTTTCAGTTAACTGAGCAATTCGTGAGCCCAGTGCTCAGCCTACAGCCAGGGTGCAGAGCTAGAAGTTGTGGTTTCCCTTCCCTAGTCCCCACCTCTGCCCTGGTGTCACAATACCAGGAGCCCTATAGAGAAGTGGGAGGTGAGAAAGGCAGTGGGGTCAGACACTGTCATTTCCTTGCTGGCCAAATAGCATGGCCCCTCCCCATTCTCCTCCATTCCCTCCAGGCAGAAGGGGATTGTGGTTCCTGCTTGCAGCTCCCGGCATGAAGGAGATTCAGATTTAGCTCAGGGAGGGTAAAGGGGTCCACAAAGAACAATCGAAGAGAAGCTGGGTTCTCTTCATTTGGGGTGCTATTTTTCAAATATTAGCTTCCTGAGGGTAGAAGGTGGGTGGGAAATTGAGAACAGAGATTTTTGGTTAGACATTACACAAGGATTAACTGGGGAGTTAACAGGAGCTAGAATTCAAACGGAACATGGACATCTACTGAAAACGTTATTAATTCCAACAGCTTGGGGCTAAGTTCATCTGATTTACTGCAAATTATAAGTTTCAGAATCATTACCAAAGCAGGGATTCAGAGCATGGTACATTCCAGCCCTACTTAATTCTTTGGGGCCCTTGACAATGGACTTAACCCAGTGTTGCCTGAGGCTCTAGCGACCCCCCTGCACCCGCTCTGAGCTCAGCTGGGCCATCTCTCCCACACCCACCCTCCTGACCTTACTGCCGGAGAGGAGAGTTAACACTGTGCCCCCCGAGTTTCTTCAGAAACTCTGCCTAAGGAAAACAATCAGAAGAAGCCTCTGGAGACTCACAGAACTCAGGTGAGGGTGCAGAAGGGAGGGTCTCCCCCACTGCCTGCTTGTCCCAAACCAGTCAGGCAGGGCTTATTGGGAATTCCAAATTGGCCTCCTCTGCTCCCATTGGTGGGATTTTCTTCTTTTCAACTTGGTGTCACTGAGTTTAGTCTTTCCCCCTTGGAGGGGCTGGAGAGGAAGACCAAGGTCATTTCCATGACTCTTAGCTCTGATTCACTGCCCTGGAGAATGAGGAGGGCAACGGGGCTGGCTGCAATGCCTTGGCTCTGGAATCTACATTTACTCCTTTATTACCCCCTAAAAATTCTCAGAACACATTCATGGAGGATCTTCTCCCCTCAAGTTCATTTCCTCTGCCTCTGGCACCTCCCGCGCTCCTAGGGTGGAAACAGCCCTGTCACCTGCAGCTGTGACCTGCCCATCCCTCACCCTCCTTCTCACTGGGATAAGAAGGGCTGGCCAAGGAAGGCACTCAGCTCTGCTGAAGCACAGGTTCTGGGGCTGCTGGATATATTTTTTTAAGTCTACTCCTCTTCAGTTATTCTGACAATTAGACAGTGAGGGTCTCGCTCAGACTCTGGAAAGAATGAACAGTCCTCAGCAATGACACTGGATGCAATAGATCCCTACCATGGTGGAGTGTAGTCACTGTCTACTTACTTTTTCATGTCTTTAAGTCCTTAAGGGAAAAACAATTTGCTAGAATTCCACAGGTGTGAATGGCAAACTCTGCTAAGCAGGAGCCCAGCCTCACTCGTTATTTTCACAGAATAAACAATTGTTATCAAAGCAGGAGGAATTTTTTTTTTTTTTTTTTTTTTTTTTTTTTTGGTCCATATCAGATGCCTGTTGATGGTAATGAGTGTGGAGGATTGATCTGGGCTCACTTCAAGCTCCACCTCCCAGGTTCACGCCATTCTCCTGCCTCAGCCTGTCGAGTAGCTGGGACTACAGGCGCCCACCACCACGCCCGGCTAATTTTTTTGTATTATTAGTAGAAACGGGGTTTCACCATGTTAGCCAGGATGGTCTCGGCCTCCCAAAGTGCTGGGATTACAGGCATGAACCACTGCGCCCGGCCACATGGGGACTTCCTTAAATTAGCAAATGCTTAATCTTCACAACAGAATTACAGAGAAGACTCCAATTAATGAATAATGAGTTGGAGTTCTTTAGGGAGATTAGCTCAAATGTGTTCTTTAGTTGGAAGCACCTACAATAAATCAAACCGGGTTAATCAAATGTTGCCTAATAATGGACTTTAGGGAATCCACTACAATGAAAAGATAAATATTACTTAAAATTGGCATACCAATTGTTGGTGTGTAAATAGGAACTTCTTAGAGTGCTGAGATAATTGGTGTGAACTGAATGCTTACAGTGCTACTTGTGGCACTCCGATAAGCATTCCTAGGGATCTAACCTCTCAGAGTAATTTATTTGGTAGACTGGAAAACCTTCTTAAGTGCTGCAGGTGTAGACAGGGTGGATCAACTGGAGAGGGAGGCGGCGGAGGGATGGCAGAGGGAGAGAGGAAAAGATACCCCTCAGCTCAGGTATCTGTTTCCTGGATAAAACGCCACCCCAACATGTTAGGTTCCTTGGGCTTCCCCGGGCTTCTGGACCCCAGGCTGGGGCAGAAAAGCCTGAGGGTGGGCCTGGAAGACTTCAGGTTGAGCCGGGATCTTGGCTAAGGAAGCTCAACCCAGTCCTGAGTGGGAACTCCAATCACAGCCCCTCCACAATTCTGGCTGTGCCTCATCCTTGTCCCCCTCAGCCACAGGTCCCCACGTGGATCCGGGCTCCTGGCCCCTCAATGCTTGGAACATTCCTAGAGGGAGCAAAGGAAAGGGTTCAAGGAAAGACACCTAGATTCTTCTTCCGTACAAGTGCGGATGGAACCATGATGTCCAGTTCTCACCTTAAGCCCAGCATGTCCAAAATCAAACTCCCATTTCCACATAAGTCGGCTCCGTCTATATCCCCTGTCCCAGTGGAAGGCAGCACAACGAAGTCATAGTTTTCCTGGATCCCTCCAGTGAAGATCTCATTCCCATGGCTAGCCAGTCACCAAGGCTCATCAATTTTACCTTTGATCCTGGAGAGGGTAGCAAGGGACTCCCAGAGGCCTGTAGGCACAGGGCCAGTATCTTCCCTCACCTCTGTTTTCCCTCCCTGGGCTGTGTCCAGGGTGCCTTGTCCCACTCCCTCCTGTCACTTGTGCCCATGGACTCTGCTGTCCTTGTTCCATCCATGTTTGGGGCACCATCAGCCTTAAAGAGGACACAAGGATGCAGGGTGCACTGTGCTACACAAAGGGGAGTTCACCACTCATGGGAACAGGGGAAACACGGCCCCCCGAAGATTCATAGCAGCCAAAGACCACGTGAGTTGTACACACAAAGGAGTCAGCGAAAGGGAGCTGGGTAGCTTGGGAAGGCTTGTTGAGGGGCAGGGGCTTGAGTTCACTTTAAAGAGAAGATAGCAACATTTGATAAGCATTCCTTTTCATCATGCTACTCCTAATGAAAAAAACAAAGACAAAAACTCCTGGCTCTGGGTCAGGAGTTTGAACACACATATCATAGTTAAGGACAAGGCACCGGAGTCAGGAAGGCCTAGGTTTGAGATCCACATCTGTCTCTTACCAGCTGTATTATCTTAGTCTTAAAATGTCCTGTTCTATAAAATACTAAGAATATATCAGAGTTGTGAGGATTCATGAGTTAATATATTTCCTATGCTTAGAATAGTGTCTGGCAAACAATATTACTCAGTAATTTTTAGCTTTTACTAATATTAATCCTTATACAACCCTCTGAGAGAAGGCTGGTGCATTTATTCATTCGAGGATATACACCTAGGGGTGCAGAGATCAACGAGGCTGCCCCAAAGGAGGGAACTCGCAGTCCAGCGTGGGAGGCAATCACTGCCCAGCCTGTGCAGTGTGCAGAGTGTCCGGAGAGCAGAGGTTGCTGGTTAACTAGTTCTGCTGGGGAAAGGCAGGTGATGCCTCCCCAGTGATGCCTGAAGTGGTCTTGTCAGCTCAAAACTACAACGGTAAGGACAGAAGCAGTCGTGCTGCCTTCTGGTGACGGGGTTGGGTGGACACCATGTTTCTGAGTTAGGTGGACTGGGGACTGGTGGGAGGAGGAGAGGTGAAGGAGCCAAGTCATGAATGGCTTCTTAGGCCACACTGAGGAGGAACTGCAACTCTGAGCTAGAGGTGCTTGGAGCTGCTGAAAGTGGGAACAGTGGAGTGATGTGACCAAGGGGCATTCAGGAGAAGGAACTCCAGGAGCAGCGGGAAAGGGTGACAGCCTGACCAGGTGAGAGAGATGAAAGAAGACACCAGGCTCCTCTCTCCTTATCTGGTCCTTTACCCACTGGGCACATGTAACCCAAACATTAATCTATCAATCCTGTGCTTACATAAACAGACAGTTATTGACTGTAAATTCTGAAAATTGTATATTTCCTTCCCAGAGTACAGCAGCCTTTACGACTGTGAAAGCAGCTGGAAATCTCAGGTGAGTTCAGAGTTTAAAAAAAAAAAAAAAAAAAAGACTTGAGGCCATTTGTACATTATCTTAAAACCAGGTTGTTTATTAGTACGTACACACCCACACTCACACCCACACACACCCATACACCCATTCCTGATGCACTGAGCAAGTACAGTACTGAGAAGGGACCTGATGAGATACAGGAGGCTGGTGTGGAGGGCTCGGGTCACTGGTGACTCGCCAAAGAAAAAAATATATTGACTATGAGGCAAGGGATACACCAAGACAACAGCCTTCCATCACTGTTTGCACAGATTTCTTCAGATTTCTCTTCTTAACACCTCCCTGCAATACT